TTTTATCAGAACTATAAGTTCCTACTCATAAACCACAGGCAAACTAGCTTTTACCCCATTTTAATGGTAATGCCCCTGTGAACTATGGTAAGTGGGTGCTCACTGACCTTTCCTGGTTCATCATATGTGAGTCTTAACACTGGTTTGATAGGCCTTTTCTCAGTGTTTTCTAGTCTACATTCCCAATCCATTCTAGATCTAGAGCGCTGTCTTTCTTTTGCAGTGCTGACCGGGGTTCTCTGAACATTATGATTTACTTCCCAGTTTGACAGATCTGTATCAGTCACCAGCGGGCTTTCCCCATTGTCTTGGTCTGAATCAGACTCACCAGACCGCTGTTCAGAACTTATGCTCCTGGTACCTTCACCCTCCGAGGGTTCAGATACTCTATCCAAAGCCTCCTTCTTTCTCAACAGACGTCCCAAGAAATCCCGACAGGGCCCGCGGGGCCTTTCATAATCCACATCCGAGGAGGACTCTGTCATCTCCTGAACATCTTCCATCTGCAAGGTCGCCGGCTGCCGGGGTCTCCTATTGCTAGAACGTGTTCTTAGCCTTTCCAAGGCCTCTTCAACTGTTTGATTTTCAGGTATTCTCACAGACTACCCAATAGGCAATAGGTGATCGCGATGAAGGGTTCTAAAGGTGCCTCTGCCTCCTTCAGGTCTCACTCGGTATACAGGCAAATTTGGCAGCTTTGCCACGACTACATGGGGTATGGAACTCCATTGGCTCTCAAGCTTGTGCTTCCCTTTGAGTCCTAAATTCCTCAGTAGAACCCGGTCTCCCTCTTGGATGTTCTGAAATCTAACCTTCTGGTCATAGGCTCTTTTGTTGCGGAGATAAGTCTTCTCAGCAGCCTGATCTGCCAGTTGGTAAGCTCTTTGCAGGTCACGCTTCAAGTCCTCCACATAATGATAATGGCTTCTCTCTTCATCCCCATTGCTTGATGTCTTGAAACACCAGTCTACCGGCAGTCTTGCTTCCCTGCCGAACATCAAGTAATAAGGAGAGTATCCTGTCGCATCACTTTTTGTGCAGTTATATGCATGCACTAATGAAGCTAAGTGTTGACTCCAGGATCTCTTCTTCTCATACCCTAAGGTAGCCAGCATGGAGAGCAGAGTACGGTTGAAACGCTCCGGCTGTGGATCCCCTTGAGGGTGGTACGGAGTCGTACGAGATTTCCGTATGCCTAAAACTGTCAGAAGCTCCTTGATCAACCTTGACTCAAAATCTCTCCCTTGATCCGAATGAATTCTTGCAGGCAAACCATAGTGTACAAAATACTGTCTGACCAGAATCTTCGCTACCGTCAAAGCTTTTTGATTTCTAGCAGGGAAGGCTTGAGCGTATCGAGTGAAGTGGTCAGTCACAACCAGTACATTGCCTATGCCTCTTGAATCGGATTCCATTGACAAGAAGTCAATACAAACCAAGTCCATTGGGCCACTGCTGACAATGTGATGTAGGGGAGCAGCTCTCTTGTAGGGTGTCTTGCGGGCTACGCACAATACACAATTCCTGATATAGTCCTCTGCATCTTGGGCCATCTTGGGCCAGTAGAATCGTGCCCTTAGAAGGTCAGTAACCCTGTCAACACCTAAGTGACCCATGTCATAATGTAGAGACTGCAACACCCTTTCTCTGAACCCCTCAGGCAATACTAATTGTAGTGCCTCTTCACCATCGTTCTTGCGCACTCTGAATAGAAGCCCATCTCTCAGGACAAATCTGCCTTCCTCCCTCTTCATCAGCCGCATCTCCGCATTCATCTCCTTGTTACTAGGCCAAACTCCCTGTTTCACTGCCTCCAATACTCGTCTAATCACAACATCCCTCTTCTGCGCTACGTTCAACTCAGCCCTTGATAGGTGCTCCAAAGAGCCTAATTGCAACTGAGACGGAAATGCATAAGCCTCGGGGATACAAGCTGGCAAAGCTCCTAATTGGTCAACATACCTAGGGGATGCTTCATGGGATTTCTCAGCCTGCACCCACTGGCATATGGATTTCACTGCATTTGTGGACATGGCATCCCATCCACCCAGCTCTGTCGCATCAGCTATGTTGCGGGACAACAGATCGGCATCTATGTTGGCTTTTCCAGGCCTATACTGCACACTAAAGTCATAGGTGGCAAGGGCGGCTAGCCAACGATGACCCGTCGCATTGAGCTTAGCAGTGCTCAGCACATATGTCAAGGGGTTATTGTCTGTGCGTACTGTGAACTTAGCTCCATAAAGACAGTCATGAAATTTATCCACAACTGCCCATTTCAATGCTAAGAACTCCAATTGATGCACTGAATATCGCTGTTCCGCAGAGCTCAACTTTCTGCTTGCAAATGCCACTGGCCTAAGTCCTTCAGGATGTTCCTGATAAAGTACAGCACCAAGCCCTTTGAAACTCGCATCAGTGTGAAGGATGTATGGCTTATAGGTATCTGCAAATGCAAGCACAGGTGCATTAATCAGACACTGTATGATGCTCTTAAAAGCATCTTCACAGGACTGGTCCCATCTTTCATTGAATGGCTCAGATTCTTTAAAGTAAGTCCTCTTCTTGTCCATGGCTTGTTTCTTTCCAGGATGTTTTGGTGCATAGCCTTTTGTTAGTTCGGTGAGGGACCTAACAACAGACGAGTAGTTTGCTATGAACCGGCGATAATAGCCACAGAAACCTAAGAAAGATCGTAAGGACTTGAGGTCTGTAGGCTTTGGCCACCTAGCAACTGCCTCTATCTTCTCCGGGTCTGTGGCAATGCCATTGGCAGACACTATGTGCCCCACATACTTGACACTTGGTTGACAAAATTGACATTTCTCGAGTGACAGTTTCAACCCCACTTCTTCGAGCCGGTCTAACACTCGCAGGAGGCGCTCTTCATGTTCTTCCAATGAACGTCCAAAAACTATCAAATCATCTAAATAGACTAACACCTGAAGGAGATCCATGTCGCCGACAGCTTTCTCCATGAGTCTTTGGAACGTGGCAGGCGCCCCGGTTATGCCTTGTGGCATCCTTTCAAATTGGAAAAATCCGAGAAGACATATGAAGGCGGTTTTTTCTTTATCCTCCTCCACCATAGCAATCTGATAGTACCCGCTTCTTAAATCTAAAACAGAGAACCACTTACTCCCAGACAAGCAATCTAATGCATCATCTATGCGGGGAGTCGTGTACTGGTCCGGAACTGTACGACTATTAAGAGTTCTGTAGTCAATGCACATTCGGATACGCCCATTTTTCTTTCTGGCAATCACAATTGGTGATGCATATGGACTACGTGATTCCTTAATGATGCCAGCCTTTAACAACTCTTGCAAGTGTTTACGAACATCGTCTATATCAGCGGGCGTCAGGCACCTTGAACGTTCTCTGAACGGCCTAGCATCTGACAACCGGATATGATGCTCCTCCTCTTTTGCCAGACCAACATCCCATTCATGCAGAGAGAATACACTGGCTTTCTCACACAACTTTTGACGGAGTCGAACCTTCCACTGGTGAGGTATGGGCGAGTCACCAAACTGAATCAGGTGAGAGTCTAATTTCACTGGAACAGTCATAGTCTCAGTCCTTGTTTTTGGAGATGGTATAAATGGATCAACACGACATAACTGGCCTACCATGGTTCCTACTGGAATGACTATATCTTTCTTCGACTCATTCTGGATCCATACTGTAAA